TCTTTTGTGTGATAGATTTCTTAAGAATTATACACGTTGGATATGACATGGTTAAAATGTTGACATTCAAAGTGTATCAGTCGAAACTCAAACTCAAACTTCTACACAAGAGATAGATATGGATGATCGGTTAGAGGAGATGCTTCGTGAAGGGGGTCCAGAATCATTCAAGCGTGCACATATGTATGAAACTCTGTGCAACGATTTGGAGAAGCCATTGTATCCAAACTGTACAAAATTCACAAGACTTTCAACAATATTAAGATTGTTCAATTTGAAGGCAAGAAATGGATGAAGTGATAAAAGCTTCACAGAATTGTTAGAGCTACTAAAAGAAAGGCTTTCAAAGGGTAACACATTGCCTAATCGTAACTACGAGGCAAAAAAGGTGTTGTGTCCTATATAGGTTTGGAGTATAAGAAGATACATGTGTACCCAGATGACTGTATGTTATATCATGGTGAGCTTCACAAAAAACGTTGCATCAATGTCCAAGATGTGGATTGTCACGATATAGAAAGAAACAAGATGATTCTGATTATGATGTGAGCACTAAGGGTCCTCCAGCGAACTAATCACTTAATTTTCATTTAATTATCATTATCGACATTTTGTATTCTTACACACTATATTTGTCTTGTGGCCAACCCTAATTGGCAAGTTTGGTTAGCATTTTTCCTACGGTTAAGGATGTATATTGATTTAAGAATGCATTTATAAGTAACTTGATACTTAAAAGATACATCTATACAATGAAAAGTATATTTGATCTAATAAATGACACTAATGAATACGTTTCTTAACAAAGAGTTGTGATCAACAAAATAAGGAAATATTTTGTACATAACAATGACAAAAAAATATTATTTCATAATTTAATTAATTTAACTAAAATCTTCACTAATAATGGGTGACTTTATTTGAAATTAAAAAAAAAAGTGTTTCAGAAAAAGAGTAATTGTTTTTTAAATAGCAAATAGAATTTGCTTTTTAAAAAAACATAAAACTGTTTTTTCTTTAAAAACATTTTAGATTAACACATAAAATATAGAAAATTGTTTATTTATTATTTTTTTTTTAATTTTTTAAGCAAACAAGTCCAGTATATCTATCACATAACATTTTGTTTTGTGCGTGTCCTTCCCATTGCGAAGCCAGATCCCAACCTCGATTAAAATTGGTCTATTAATGAAGATTGACCTAACATGCATGTATATAATTTTAAATTTGAACTCTGGTGTAGTTAGTATAATTTTAATGGATAAAAAACACAACTTTCATTCCTTTGTTGAATATAATATTTACATAGATAATTTACAAACCTTGAATTATAATTATGGCAAATAATAAATGTAGTCAAACCCTTCTGAATTGATTGCTGGTTGTCTCAAATAAAGAAAAATAATAAGAAAAATTGTATTTAATTGCGTATAAAAGGGTTAATATATTTTAGATTCGTACGGTATAATTTTGCAAAGTTAATAAAATAAATTATATGTTATCTCTAAAAAAATTAAACAATTATTTTATCTAAAATTTATTATTAAATTAAAATTTTAAGATTTAAATAAATTGATACTTGATTCATATAATTCAAGTTAACAAAATGAAACAAGCTATTATCAAACTTGAATTAAGTTAAATTCAAGTTAAAAAAAAAAAGTTCATATAAACTTGAATTGAGTTAAATTCGAGTTAAAAAAAAAGTTCATATAAAAAATTATATATGAATCAATCTGTAATTATAAATAAATAGTATCAAGTCAAGTCGAATTAAATCAAACTCGACTCATTTCTAATCTTATTAAACACCCATTCAAAGAAAAATATAAAATAAAAATAATAAATGTGATAAAAAAAGAAAGAAATATTAGTAAAGTATTTATACAAAAATCAGAACTATGGAAATATTTTACGGTACAAAATATGATATGCAATATTTTTTCAAATGAAATTTAGCAGCTGAACCAGTCTGTCACATTCTATAAGGCAATTTTCCTTTTGTTTGTTTGTTTATTTTTTTTTATCTATATTTGACAAGAAGAAAATCCAAGACGTAGGCTGTAGTAAATTCAACAACAATCGTCATTCCCATGCAAAAATCGCCAACGAAATTTAGTTTTTGTTCTCGCGTTTCGCCAACCTGAAATTTCATATAATCCCCCTTCCTTCTCTTCTCAACAATACCAAACCATTCCATTCTTCTCCACAAACATCTTTTCTCCTCCATGGCCTCCTCACCAGCAACCCTTGAACCCCAAAACGAGAGAGGCCATGTTTACCGTTTTACCCCTCTGCCCCAATCCGAAACCCAAATTCATCGTCATCGTGAGAATCATGAGGAACAACCCGTGTCAGTTTCCGTGGATTCCACAGGCACAAGGTCTGGGTCCGAATATTATTACACAGAAGAAATATTCAGCATTAGCGCACGCACGTGCGAAATGATTCAAGACCTGTTAGGGCTGGCATTGTTGATGATGCTAATTCTCTTACCTTTATACAAGCGTTTAGGGTCTCCAAAACAAGACCCTATTCCCCCCGTTTTCGTTCTCAATTCAATGTATCTCTCCAACTTCACCGCGGGGACTGGAGGACTTGTTGCCACGTGGGACGCCAAGTTTACCGTCACAAACACCAATGTGTCGTGCATTTACTTCCGAAGCATTGATTTCTCCATGTTCTATAAGCGAAACCCAGAAGATGCTCTTTCTTTTGCCTCTTCGTACCCCTTTTACTTGGACAAAGGGGAGCACGTGAAATTGCATTTGAAGTTCACAGCTGGTGGGGCGGGGTTTGAGGATAACGATCCCTTAGTGGAGGAGATGGGAAAAGATAGGGCAAAAGATGGGACTCTGAATTTTGGAATGGAAATGAAGGTGCAGGCTATTTACTATGGGGAAACATGGGTCTCGGATGTGGAGATGAATCCTCATTGTGAAGACTTGACGGTTCAGTTTCTGCCAGATAAGGATTCAGGAAGGTTGGCTAACCCTAATAGGAACTTCTCGGTTCCATTACATTGGAAGCCATTCTCTTTCTTTTGAATTAGTTCCATATGCCTTCTTATTGAGGTTTCTGCTAATGGTCTAGCTACTAGCTAGCCACGTAGTTTGTCTCTCTGAGATTAAGAGTTTTGTATAAATTGAGTACTGCAAAATTCATGGTTGATGATTAATTAAGTCACTATTTCCTTAAGTTTTGTACGGTCTCTATGGTTGTTGAGGAATGATAGTGCTTAATGATGTGAAATGTGACTTTTTATCCGCTTAGACTTGATTAAAGATAGATCATGGTATTGTTTTAAGGGTCTACGAGGGGAAAGATAATTCTTGTTTTCATACTGGTATATATTAACTTTTAAAAAAAAATTTTTTTTGCCAATCCTCAAAGTACTATTACTAAAATATATTAACACTTTTTTTTTAAATAATGCTTTTGCATTATAAAAAGTTTGGAATTTGTACTCTTTTCAATATATTCCTTTGATACGACCCAAAAAATATTCCTCTGATTAACAAAAATAAAAATCGTTCAGATAATCAATGATCGTCTTCTTTTGAAGAACTAAGATTAATATGAAGGGAGTATTAAGTAAAGTAACTTTCCCATAAATCATTTGTAATTAAGTTTTCTACTAAAACAATTCTATGAAAGAGGATGGAAATCCTAGATTTCAAAAGAAGAGAGAGAGAAAAGTTTTTTATTATTATAATTATGTTATTTTTTGGGAATAATTTAGATATAGCAAATATATTTATGACATTCTCAGTGTCATATATTTTTGTTTGGAAAATATATATCTTGACAAAATAGTTTTCACATATCAATACGACAAGTCTAATAGATCAAAGATACTTGTGAGTCTTTAAAACCATATCAATATAACAAGTTTTTCCATTCAATTCTATTGAAAAACCATATTGGAAATAAATCAAACATGCACTTAGTATATTTGTCTAGAAGTAGGGAGAAGAAAAAATCTCTAATATCATTAATTCTTACATGTTATTAATAACATATTTGGTTTATTCTTAAGAGTGATTTAACTGGTTAAATTTTTTGTTTTTATTAGTTAAAATTTGAAATTTAAAATTTAATTTAATTTCTGTGTGTTTTATATTTTTTCAAACGAATGAGAATGAAATACAAAATTTGTAATTTCACTAAAAATCTTTAAAAATATTTGTAACTATCTCTAAAATCGTGTCGTATTTTAATCTAAACTTTTATTTAAAAAATTACATATTTAGTTGATCAAATTCATTGCATGACCCTTTCTAGAAGGCTTTCGGTATAAATGTTTTTACTTTCTAGGAAGCCCATGTTGGAAAAGTTAATTTATTTTTCACATTTGTATGATAATTAGAAAGTAACATTTAAGAGACATTATTAATTTCTGAAAATATTTTTTTACCTATGTTTCTCATGAAATTATTTTCATAAGAATAGGTGGAAATATTAAATAAAAAGTTTTATTTTGATAATAAAAAAAATCATGCTTATTTTATTTGCTTATTTAATATAAAAAATATTAATTCTTAAGTAACATATTTAAATACTTTTTAGAATATTTATAATTTAACAAACTTATTTTAATCATTTATTCGAATCATAACTTTTTAGGTGTAAAAAAATTTCATGCATATGGTATCAGATACAATAAGAGAGAAAAGTCTATGCATGATACATGATATAATGTGATAAAAAAAATAGTAATAAAGAAAAATAACAAGTATTGATGAGATGGTTAAAAGAATAGGCGTTTGAAAAATAATTCTTGTACACTCCAAAAAGGATGTTACGCAGGTTGAAGAGGTGTTCAAGTTGAAGTTAAAATCCTAATTCGTCGTCATCTCATAATCCTGCTAATTTCCTAGAAAAAAGAAATTTACAAAATTAGAATGAGGGTACGTAATGAATCCTTGCCAATGACTCCTAAATTACATTCAACATACCATGATAATAACTCACGCATACAATAATCAAACAGAAACAGAAACAACACCCACGATCTTACCGCATTTCTGTCAATCTATATTTGTCTTTCTTTATACCTCCACCTTCATCTAAAAGAAAATAAAAATAAAAACACACAACACCACATCGGTGCCCTCTCTCTGTCTCTCTCTCTAAAGATCTCCATTGGGAGAGAGAATCAGAGAAACTAAACCACCTTGATGGACCCAGCCTATGTTGGAAGAGGACCCGGAAAAGACTCATTCTCCCAGCAGCCCTCTTCACATGGGTATGGAGAGGCGCCAGCACCACCACCAATGGCGGCACCGCCACAAATGATGTATTACCCTCCACCAATGGGCTACAACCCAGGCCCAGCAGCACACATGCCTCACCAAGGATACCCTCCAGGCTACACCCCATATCCAAACGAGTACGCTCAGGCCAACGTGTACCATTACCCCGCAGGCCCATACTTTCGCAACCCTCCACCCGCCTATCATAGGAGTGGTGGAGGAAAAGCCTTCATCCGCGGCTTCATAATGTGTTTGTGTATCTTATTCACCGCTTTCTTCGTTGCAACCCTTGTTATGGCGCTAGCCCTTCACCCCCAACTCCCTCTCTACACCGTTAATTCCCTCTCCGTCCTGAATTTCAACACCACTTCCACATTAGCCGGTGATTGGAACGCCAGCTTTATGATCCAGAACATCAACGATAAGCTAACGGGTGAGTTTTCCGGATTTAAGGCGGATTTGTTGCACAAGAACGACGTCGTAGCGGTGAGTTTTGTACCCGATTTTGTGTTGGACAAGAAACAGGTTAAACACGTGGATGTGAAGCCCTCCTCGACAGGAACGTCGTTCCCGGAGTGGAACTTGGGTGATTTGGGGAAGGAACAAGCCACTGGCTCTATCACTTTCACGATGAGGATATCTTCCATGGTCGCCTTCAAGTCTAGCTCAATGTCCACCAGAGGATCGTTGGTGCTGGCCCTTTGTGACGGTTTGAAGGTTGTGTTTCAGAATAACACCGGCACCGGCGCCTTGGAAAATGGGGGAAGCCCCATCCTTTGCCAACTTTATATGTGAAAAATGCAATTTAATGCATGCCGAGGAACAAAGCTTCTTTTTTTTTTTGGATAATGTGTGGGGGAACAAATTAATGGTTATCTTTTGTTTTGTTTTTCTTAGGGTAATAGGAACACTATTAACTTTCCCTAATCCCGATATCTTTCTCCGCTAATTTGTTAGAATGAATTCTTCTGTAGCTGGTCTCGTAAACAACAAATTCAATTGGAAATTAATTTATCAGGGTACATAAATATCAATTAATGTAATTTATGTATTCTAAAAGATCCAAAACTGCATGAAATGTTATCATCGTATTTTGGTCAAGTTCTTACCGTCGAAATTAAAGCTTGTAAGAATATGAGATTCAACAACAAATTACAGATCCAAAAATAATGAGAACGCCTTAGAGAACACCAAGTAGATTCTATGATAGGTAGTCTTGACAGCTGCCCCGTCGCCTTGATCTTTTGGTATACAGATTCCATGTTCCATCCCCACCAAAGGCAAAAGTTCATAGCTTCCAAATACTCTTAAATATTAGTCTATATTAAATAAATTCAAGAAAGAAAAGAAAAAGAAAAAAAAAAAGAGATTTTTTTCTAATTAATTTTGTGCTAACTTCTTTTTATCTTTCTTTGAAGTACCAAATAAAGTGGCAAAATAGATTGTTTCAATCCATACGAGGTTTTTATGGGACTATTCAGAGGAGAAAGAGAAGATTTCATGGATTAGTTGGGAAAAGATATCTAGACTAAAATTAAAAGGGGGTCTTAAGGTAAAAAATATTGTCACCTTCAATGCAACTTTGTTGGACAAATGGAAATGAAATTTATTCCACCAATAGGTTCATTGTGGGCAAAAGTGTTTATATCAAAATACGCTGGGTGGCCTAACTTGTGTTCTGGGAATGCGAACAAAAAGCCTCCATATAGTGTCGTGACCTACTAAAGCTGTGTGGCGGAGACAATGAAGAAAGGTAGTTTGATAAATTGGTGGGATGGAGATTAGGGAAAAGGAAGCAAACTAAATTCTAGACAAACAATTGGAACAGAGAGGAATGTCTAATAGTATCTCACCCGAGATTGTTCTTAAATTCTGAACAGAAATGTGAATCAATTGCTAACATGGGCCAACGGATTGATGAATTAAACTAGGGTTGGACATTAAGGTGGCGTAGAACTTGGTTTTAAACGAAGCTTATTCAAGTAGAATCAATAATGTAGCAGATTCTTGATAGCTCAATTTTATAGAAAAATGAGACTGGTTCATGTCTACAAATTCAAGTGGAGTAAAAGTTTGTACAAATATGGAACCTACCAATCCCGTCAAAGGTTTTTGTGTTTGTATGGAGGTTGTTCAACAAAGGAATAACAATAGACAATTAATTTAGTAAGGAGAAATTGGACACTGAATCCACAACAGATATCCTATGTCTCTTCTGCAAAATCCTCCTTGAATCTTTTTCACATCTTTTCTTTACATGTCACTTGGTAGATCTTGTGTGGAAACAATGGCTTGCATGGATAAATTGTCCCTCACCCTTGCCCCAACCCAATACACTAAATAACCACTTCAATTATATTCCAGGTCCTATACTCACTAATTTGGAGGTAGAGCTAGCGAGTAGTTTGATGTGCTACTACTTGATGCATTTGGAGACATAGGAAACAATGTATATTCAAAGGGGTTATTTTACGAAAAAACTTTGTTGAAAGATATCCTTTTCTCCTCTTAGTCTTGGCCACAACATTGCAATGATATTTTAATTATTCTTTTTCATAATGGTGCTCTAATCGAGGATTTTGCCTCGTTAAAAGAAATTAGTGCTTAGAGGGTTCCTGTTAATAATATGTTTTAGTTGGATTAATTTACTAGTGGTATTTGTTGGTTTTTCATTTATAGTGCAGTAGAGATTACTTATTGGGGAAGAGGATTTACTCTTTATTTCATTTGTAAATAGTTCCTGGTTTATACCGGTTGGATATCCCTTATATATTTTATCCTTTTTTTAATATATATCTTCTTTGCTGTTAAAAAAACTCTCTTAATTACAAGTGCATGCGCATTATTATGCTCACAGATTCCATGTTAAATTTATCGGACTTTCATTGCGAGAAACTAATGAGCTAATAATTGTAATTAAACCGAGTAAACACAAGAGAATATTTGTCAGCGTTAGTTCTTGGTTGATTTTGAATCATGATTGCTCAGAGACTTATATCTATAAGGGGGATCTATGGAGTGAATGTTTTGCAGAATTCTTAAAGACTTGCCATGGAATCAAATAACCTATTATAGAGGCTATAGAGTAACTAATATAAATTCCTTAAAGGAAAATGCTTGTTAGTACTAAAAATATATGTAAGTATATATAATGGAAAAAATATTTAAATACTTTGTATTGTGGTTGCTAAAGAGGAAAATAATAAGGAAAAAAAAAAAGAAAATAATAAAAGTGTGAGAAAATGTAGGGTTGATTTGGTTGAGATATGAAATGGGCCGGTGAGAAATAGGAAAGAGAGGGAAAATAGGATAATGAAAATTAGTTGAAAGGTTTGGTTCATAAAAAATTAAAAGTTGAAAAATTAAAAGGTAATGAAGTCAATCTTTTCTCTTTTTATATATATATATATATATATATATTATTTCTCACATATTTTCCTTTAAATAAAAATTAAATTTTTATCTTATTTCTTACATATTTTTACTTGTCTATTTCTTATTTCTCTTTTTTTATTTTTTTTATTTCTGTCCATCCCATTTCTCATATATTTCTTTTTCTTTTTGTCGAACACAAGTGTAAGAAAATAGAGTAGATATAAAAATTGTTTGATAAAAGAAAAATAGAAGAGATAGAAAAATATATTGAGTAATTAAGACTAATGTGTTTAAAAATATTGAGTGTCTAAAAAATAAAATCTTAGATAATATATGCAATTTTTTTCACTTTATCCGATAAATCATAAAACTCATATATTGATGATTTTGATTTATTGAAAAAAATAAAATACAGCCAGCCTAATTTGATCACAAGAGTTAGTCTTTCATTAATTGGTTTTGATTCTGTTATTACACTCTTACATACTCAAACATAAGTAAAATTAACTAATCTATATCTAAATTAAGAAAATTAATAAATATTATTTAATTGTACAGTCTCATTTAAAAGAAACTTCTTAATTTTTCTTTTATAATGTGTTTAGATGAAAAAATTTAAAAATTTAAAATTATTAAAATATGAAGTATTCTACTTTCAATTTTCATCATTCCTTAAATATCTTATTTGCACAAGTCAATTTAATTTTTTAAAATTTTAAATCCTTAATTTGGATAAGACAATATAATTTTAATCATGGTAAAATTGATTTTAAATACATATATTTTTTTAAGGGATTTTAAACACATATATATGCACACATATATATTAAAATTTCAACATTAAATTTTATAAAAATAAATATTGACCGATTTTTAAATATTTAATAATTTTTAAAATAATATTTGATAATATTTAATAATTTTAAATATTAAATAATTAAAAAATTATTGATATTTTTCATGTCATTTTAAAGAGAAAAAAAGGAGATAAGAGCAAAAGAAAAAAAAAAGAAAAAAATTCAAATTCTTATTTTTATTTTAGAGAGTTTAAAATTCTATAATATAAAAAAAATTACAAATATTTTAATTTTAAAGTTCTTTATAAATTTTCTATTCAAGCAAATTATTTTATTTTTCAAATAATTAAATTACTTCATTAAAATTCTCAATCCAATTTAATAATTCAATGAACCACTTATCTCACTGCTATCGGTGGTGGATATTCCAGGGACGAAGCAAAAAAAAATAAATAACTTTATTAATGATATTTTTTAGAAAAATACAAATGACGTTAACAGTAATTAAAGACAACTAAAACTCTCATTATTTTTTTATCCATCATAATTGCAATAAAAAAAAACTCTTAACTTTTGCTTTATAAAAAGGACTTAATTAAAAGAATCCTAAATTTAATAAACTACTGTTTTGGTTCTATTTGTTTGACGTTTAAGATTCCTATTCAAAAATTAATAAATGAAATTAATATTTTAGATTTCATGAAAAAATTCATGCAATTTCATAATATATATATATATATATATATATATATATATATATTAGGAAAAATTATTAAATATTTAATTATTATAACAAAATGATGATTAAAATGAAACAATTTTTATAAAATATCAAATAAAATGCACGGAAGTATTTTGTATAAAATATTCCAAAACTCATCATTTATACGGTATTTTTTTGTAATATGTTAATTAAAAAATAATAATAAAATTTGACAAAGACATTTATATATGAACAAAAATTTAAATAGAATTTCTTAGATTCAATTGATATTACTTTTTTAATTAAAATTATACTTTAATATAATTATATAAGTGCATATAATGTAAGCTTTGTTAATATATATTTATTCATATTATTGAGATAAAAACTCTAATGGTACCTTTTCCTTCATGTACATATGTGTGAGTGAGTAGTCAGTCTTGTCCAAATATATGATATTTCAATTCATTCTACTTATGTTACTCAGGCTTTCACAACCACAAGGTAATATATGTGAATTGTTGACGTTACTGAATTGAAATGCATTTATGAAATATATGTAGGAAGTAAGAAAGTGAGAAGGTGAGTTAATTAATATTTAAAAGTCAAACTTGTTTATCAAATGCATTTATCCCTGTAACAGCGCTATAAATTTTGTTGCAACGCGTCAATGAAAACACTTGACGACAAAAGACTCTCCCTGACTTCACACTTCACACTTCACACACTCTTTTCATGGCTTTATACGTAACCCCATGCCAACTCTTGACCACCATAAAGCAGCAACCAACAACGCGCTTCCGCAAAATCCACTCGCCGCCTCATTCCGCCAACACACACCAACACCATGAAACCCATCGTGTTCCGCATTCTCGCTTGCATTGCCTTCATCGCGTGCATCGTCGTCATGACGCTCTTCATCATTTTTATTTTCG